ACCGCTGGGCCCTCCGAAGCTAGAATAATCTAGAAACTTCTCATCTCATTGTAAAAAACTGGCAAAGTATAAAGAGGAGAACGTTCTCTGTAATCGCACCACCCAGCGACGACCATTTCCCTGTTTCTCTCTCGTCTTCTTTTCCCCTATAGACTCGGCCCCGCTGAGTGCAGAGCTGTTGGATGTGCGGTGTGATGGCCCTTTTTTGCTTTACCTGTTGTTTTAGGGAAATACCCCATCTTTTGAACCCACCTCAGTGTGCCAGGCGCTGTGCGTCCATATAGCATCCATATGGCGCCTCCAGGCAGCATATACCCGAAAATGTGCCTTCCTTTCTCATGTTTTAAAGATGAGTGGGGGGGCGCCTGGGTGGCTCAGTCGGTTGAGCGTCCGACTTCGGCTCAGGTCATGATCTCACGGTCCGTGAGTTCAAGCCCCGCGTTGGCCTCTGTACTGACAGCTCAGAGCCTGGAGCCTGCTTCAGCTTCTGTGTCTCCCTCTCTCTCTGACCCTCCCCTGTTCATGCTCTGTCTCTCTCTGTCTCAAAAATAAATAAACGTTAAAAAAAATAAAAGATGAGTGGGGGTGGGGGCCTGCGGACCGTAAGCAACTTGCTCCAGGAGCAGATTAAGAGATGGGGTCAGGATCTCAGCCCATTTCTCTCCAACTTCAAAACCTGTGCATTTGTCACCATGAGGCACTTGTCCTAAGGGGCCATCTAAGAAGGTGTGCCTTAGAGAGCCAGTACTCCTGTTCACCCAGCGGGTGTCTGTAGGGCCTCCGGGGCGGGGGCAGAGCCGTGGGGCCTGGAACCGGCCTGGCCCCTCACCGGAGGAGCCCAGGCAGACACCATCCTCCTTTCTTCCCTTCCAGGTCATGCAAGTGGTTCGAGAGCAGATCACTCGAGCTTTGCCCTCCAAACCCAGCTCCTTGGATCAGTTCAAGAGCAAACTGCGTAGCCTGAGCTACTCTGAGATCCTGCGGCTGCGCCAGTCCGAGCGGATGAGTCAGGATGACTTCCAGTCCCCGCCGATCGTGTAAGTGCTGCCGGCTGGGCTGGGGGGAGGCGCCACCAGCCGTGCCGTCCCGTGACCTCCCCTCGCTCCGGCGCGTGTCCACCCAGGGAGCTGAGGGAGAAGATCCAGCCCGAGATCCTTGAGCTGATCAAGCAGCAGCGCCTGAACCGTCTCTGTGAGGGCAGCAGCTTCCGGAAGATTGGGAACCGCCGAAGGCAAGGTGAGGGGGCCTGGGCCCCTGGGCCGGTCCTTACCGCTCAGAGTCAGTGCCCTGGGGAGAGAGCCTGCCGGACAGGGGACAGGTCGTCGTTTTGCCCTCCGTGTGCCCAGGCCCTTCCCGGACCTGTCTTTGGTCACTTGTTTGTCTTCCCGTGTGTTACAGAACGTTTCTGGTACTGCCGCTTGGCCCTGAACCACAAGGTCCTGCACTATGGTGACTTGGACGACAACCCTCAAGGGGAGGTGACGTTTGAGTCCCTGCAGGAGAAAAGTAGGTTCGCTTCTCTGTTGACGTGTCATAGTAGCTGGACTCCATGTCAGGAGACCTGCGTTTTAGTCCCGGCCGTTTCAGGCCGATTATCTGGTCTTGGGCCGCTTGTCTCTCTGGCCTCCTCTGTCAGAGGTCATCTCTACCTGGCCTACCTCACAGGGCTATTTGGAGAATTCCCTGAGATTCTGATGTGAATGGGCTTTGTAGACTGTCAAGGGTGATACAGGACTGTGTTGAAAGGCGGTGTTAACGAGCCGAAGCTCAGAAGCCAGATTGCTGCGTTCAAATCCTAGCTTTGCTGTTAATTCTCATTAACTGCAAGTTAATTCTCACCTCTGCCTTGGTTTCTTGTGCAAAATGGGAATAATAGGCACATTTCCTTTGTAAGGGGATTGAGTGAGTCATGTAAGTAAATCGCTTAAAACATTGGCTGTCACGTAGTAAGTGAGCACAGCTATTTGCTCGTGGCATTGTTCTCTTAACCGCTATGCTATGCCGTGGAGGGGGTGTGAGCCTCTGAGGCCCCAGACCTTCGGGGAGACCATCCCAAAGCCCTGAACTGACCCCCAGTCAGATCCGACACAGCCCAGCCAGCCGTGGCCCACGGGAAGGGACCACGGAGGAGGAAACAACACAAGGCTGTTCTCTCTGAGCTGATCAAGCCCTGTGGTCCGGGGGCTGGGGCTTCCCCTCCAGCACTGACGCAGAGACCCATTTACAGCATAAATCTTCCAGACTAACTCTCTTCATTTACCAGTTCCTGTTGCAGACATTAAGGCCATTGTCACCGGGAAAGATTGCCCACACATGAAAGAGAAGAGCGCTCTGAAGCAGAACAAGGTGAGTGGAACGGGTGCCCTGGCAGAGTCACCGTCACTGTGACGCCTGGAGAGTGCAGTCGGCGGTGGCCGCTGTCCGAGCGCACGCTCTTCCGTCCGCTCTCTCCCGCTAAGCTGTTCCTTCAGTTCTTGTTAGGAACAGAACAAGAACAGGCAGAACCCCCGCGTACGCATCACCCGGCCTCAACAACCTTGGCAGGTCCCAGCTATCCACTTACTATGTTACTTTGAAGAAAATCTCAAGTTATGCCGTTTCCTTTTCAATGTGTAGAATGGATCTGTAAATTATAAGGGCTCTTACCATAATCACCATACCATGATCACACCTAAAAAGAAAGAAAAAGTTGTTATTTAATATCAGATACCCCACAGATGTTTGCGCCGTCTTGTGAATAGCGTAATTTCTCTGTATAAAAACACACAAACGGTGTGTGCACACATATGCACACTCACACCATTCTGTTCGCTAAATCAGAATCCAAACAGGGTCTGCACATTGTGATTATTCTTTTAAGTTCCTTGATTACCAGGTTCCCCTCTAGCTTTTCCATGTTCGTTTCACTCTTGGCAGTTTATCAGTGGAAGAAACCGGGTTGCTTGTTTGGTAGCTTCTCCGAGTCTGAAATTTGCTGATTGTCTCCCCATGGTATAGTTTAACTTGTCCCCCCGTCCCAGATCTGGACGTTGGTGGAGAGACCTCGGGGGAGGCTTGATCCAGTTCAGGTTTGACCCTTTTTTTTTTGGCAAGACTGCTTCCTAGGTGGCATTATGTTCTATCAAGAGACACACGATGCGCGATGGTCTTTTTGTGATGTTAGCAGACTGTTAATGCCGAGTGCCTCAATCCACTGGCCAATTAATATTAGCAAACTAACAGTGTTCCAATGCAGTTGTTCCTTTTCATTTATGAGCTGAACTACTTCTCTAAAGAGAAACTTACCATCATCTACTCTTGGTTTCCCAGTGGTCCACTTTATATAAGAAAGGATAAGCGCCTGATTCT